CTTATGCTCTCTGAAATAAAGAAAATCTTAAAAAAAAAAAAAAAAGTTAAAGAGGAGTAAAATAGCAATTTTAAATAAAAGACAACAAAAATCATGACAATATATGTTGTTTTTTTTTAACAAATAGCCCAATTATGGTGTGATACCCCTATCCTGAATTAGCGTTTATGAAGCAACCACTGACTTCCTAAAGAATAATAAAGTAGGGATTAAAATTTCCTTGCCTAACAGAAGCTTAAAAAAGTGTAGCAAAAAAGTCTCTTGGGAACCAAGAGTTGCGAAAATAACAATGGGCTCTGAACATCCCATATTTGAAACAAGTAACACATTTCCTAATTTGTAAACACACAACGTGATAAAGAAAAGGTCAGAATGAGCTTGAAATAATTTCTTCTGTAGAGTAAAATTTAACATTTCGACCTTGTTTTTGCAACACCAACACATGCAAGTCCTGAGACTTTATCACGCTGAAACACTCTCCAGCATCAGCTTGGAAACAAAGTCCGAAGAGCGAACACAACGTGACCGGAACTTTACCCTGTGGGGCATTCCCTACTCTGAGCCTCTTCGCCACCGTGCTGCTGACTCCGAGGAAGTCAGCATTTCTGATTCCGATCAGGCATTTCTGAGTCGTCGCCACAAAGTTTACTGCAGCTTATTAATCTGGGGCATCTTACAGAAGGCCGTAAGCCAGCCCAGGGTATGGGGACGCTGTTCTCAAAACCGAAGATTCTGTGCCCATGCTAGAGGCGAGCCTGACCAAAGCTCGCCCCAGCCGGGCTCGCAGCTGATGAGCCCCCCACGTGCCCACACAGTCCAACGTAGACCGCGGACGTGAGGAAGGCAGGCCACCCTGGGCTGACGATCAGCGCAGGCATAAGTCAGTACTACAGGTTACTGACAGAGAAAACAAACAGAAAAAAACCAAAGGCTTTTGACTTAAAAAGAAAAAAAAAAAGAACCCTCTTTCTTCTTCACTTGGTAAATTTACAAAGACGGGATGCCATGCTTAATGAGCGTCAGGGGATGGTTTACAAGGTCATCCAAGTACAAGAGACTGAGGGACTTAAACCCTGGCGGAAAAATCCAGCTAAGAACACAGGCTCTGCTTAATGAGAAAGCTTTAGAGAGAAACTGCTTTCACGACGAAGCATTCGGTCTGGGGTTCCGATGCTGGCACGTTCGGCGGGCAGGATCCTGCGAGAACGCAGACTGCTTCCCTCTGTCAGCATCGTCTTGCTGACCCCAACGGGGCCCAGCGTGCGTCCTGCACGTCAACTTCCCCTGGCCTACCGTAGAACCATTATCTATGCTTTGTGGAAAAGTCTGTTTTATGCATCCTGAGGTCGTCCTTGGAAGAGCAAGGAAGGACATGCTACAGATAACAAACCACCATCACAGAACCCGAGAACAGTACCTCTGAGTCCTCTGGAAGGGCTTAGTCGGAGAGCACCATTTCCAGACTCAGTCAATGAAACACGTGATCTCCTATGACGAAGGCTAAAGGACAAGTCCCCTCAAAAACAGCCGGCTACTCACTCTGTCAGAGCCAGTTGTCTTAAAGCATAAGCGGGATGACTAAGGTACAATCTGATAATGTGCAAGAACATTAACAACGCATGCACTGGATTTCCAGCGAAATTCGACAACACACACCCTGAAATATATACCGCATGACACAAGTGAAACACCTAACAGCAAACGTGCACTGGCCCGTGGCCCAGCGCCCCGCGTCCTGGGGTACCCCGGCTGCACCCCGCAGCCGCCGGGCACGCTCTGGGCTCCGGCGGACCCGCAGGGGGCGTGCGCGCCTCCCGCCAAGCAAGGGGCCGGGGAATAAGCTCTTTCTGCCCTGTCCCTGAGTTTCTGGAAGCCTCAGCAGCAACAGAAAGGCATTCTCGTGATTGTTTTTGGCAAACTACAATGACGTTTTCTGTCAAATGCCACAAACTGCTCAGAGTCCGCTTTACGTGGAGGCGGCGCGCTCAAGTGTAATCCTTGACCGAGAGTTAAGAAACGTGGGAACTTTGTGGTTCCAGGTAAACCACTGTTCAGGCAGGAAAACATACCTTGTGAGGTTGTGAAGACGGAAGACCCGTTGCAAGAGACCGCTATTCCAGTAACCGCCCTGTTTAAAGACAGAGTTTTATACGTTACCAACAACCATGTGCTGAGACACCTCTTTCAAGTCCTTGATTTCATTTTACCAAGTTTCTGTGTTTTTTTTCATCACAGCCTGTCTGCTGGATCTGTCCCGCACATATTACACCTGCCACGACCAAATCATCATTTGGGAGCTTCGAATTTTGTTTTGGTACGACCTGTGGCCAGAAACCATTCCCGTTCTCGGCTTCCCTGGCTGCCATATTCAAAGTCGAACACCTTCCTGACAACTGGAAATCTGCTTCTCCCTCAATTTCACCTTATCTGACTATCCCCAAATTACTGAAACTCTTCTTTACAAGCACTTCACTTGCTTTGCTGCTGAATCAAATTTACCGAGCATCTGTTCAGTGATGATACCATCGTCTCGTTCTACCATTTCCTTTTATAGGTTCATTCATGTCTACACTGCCTGGGATGATAAGGCCTCTTTCTATGTATCACTTAGAGAAGTTGAGAAAAGAAAAGCCACTGTTATTTTTTTTTTTTTAAAGATTTTACTTATTTATTTGAGAAAGAGAGCATGAGAGAGAGAGAGCATGAGAGGGGGGAGGGTCAGAGGGAGAAGTAGGCTCCCCGCCGAGCAGGGAGCCCGATGCGGGACTCGATCCAGGGACCCCAGGATCATGACCTAAGCCGAAGGCAGTTGCTTAACCGACTGAGCCACCCAGGCGCCCGAAAAGCCACTGTTATATAATGAGTAAGGTGAACTATCTATTTCTTTGCAAGAGGCTGTGCTCTGATCCAGAGCTATAGATCTGAAGTAGATTGGGACATTCAGACCCACCCGTGACCCATGGTGTCTGTGATGTCAACATGTCAGACAGAATGTCTATGGCCATGGAGCAGGCCAACGGGCTCGTCTCTGAGCCTGGGTTTTCTCATCTGTAATAGGATGGCTCAGGGGAAGTCAGTGCTTCTCAAGCCTTCCTACCAAAAGGTGTGACTATCCTTAATGGCAGAAGTCTGAACACTCATAACCCCTCCGGGTCTGACAGCAAGCCCTTTTTTTGAAAGTACAGGTATTATTTTTAAAACTCCTGTGAACTTAGCCCTTTGACCTCTTTCTCTCTCTCTCTCTCTACACATATTTGTCATAATTTTTTAAAAGGACACATTTTCCCCTATAATACCTGTGAATCCAACACTTGGGGAAGATACACCATGTTTCTCCCATCAAAGAGTTGAGGGGCTGTGAACCCCAGTTTGAGAGGCAACAAAACTACGTGCTGGCCGCAGACCCCATCGCGGGCTCTAGAAAGACCAGGGGTAGAAATGACAGCATGGAAGGCTGACAAAAATCCATTTTGTGCCAAACTTTCCCTTGCCACATTGACCTCACATGGCTGATCACTACAGACATTTTGGGGGGAGAAAAACCAATCAAGACAACACTGAAAGAGAATTTCCACCCCCTTGACTCCACTTAAAACAGTGTCGCTCCAGGCCAAGACCCCAAGTTTTGCAAGGATGGCACAGACGTGTTCTTACTCTTTGTGGATTTTATATTGCTCATGTAACTGCAGTTTGGTGATGTTATTCCAAGCCAGGCTTTTGCTTTCTTCAGTCAGGTCTTCAAAAGACTCTTCACCTGGAGAGACTACATTGAATTGTTGCCAAGTGAGTCAACAGAATTATTAACAAGCACCACAGACAACAAGCATCAGGGTCACAATATTTTCTATTAAAATCAAACGACCAAGGAAACACAATGCCCCACTGAAATATAACTACTCTGAAACGTACTTGGGAGCTCCATGTTTGTCAAGGGAAAATGATAAAATGTATAATCTAAATAACATATTGGGAGAAAGATTAAAAAGTATCTTTGAATACTGAAGTCTTTTTATACTCTTATCAGTGTTCCCAAAGTTTTCACTCAGCCCCTGCCTTAGGAGCTTCAAGAAACACAAGACTGAGTAATATTTCCTTGTCAGTAATGGTTGCAAAAGCCTGACCATTCTCTACAAATGCTGAGGTTTCATTTTGGTTTTGAGGGGGAAAAAGCAGACGTGTTCCGAGCTATAAGCGCCCTGGCCAGGACGAGGGAAGCCATCCCTCCTGTCTTCTGAAGGGCTGGGGGGCAATTGCTCCTTAGTATAATCACAAGACAGTGCTATGAGCCTGGTGACTAAGCGGGGCATGGGTTTAAGAGGCATCACAAGATAATCTTATGGTCTTTATGACTGAACCCCGTGAGGCATTATCTCTTAGAGAAGAACTCCTGGCTAGCCCTGGATCCCGGGCCCCTGAGAGCTATTCGTCCAGGTGTGAGAGATACTCTGCTCTGGGCACCTATGAAGTCCCTGAGTGCATGGAACAGATAGAAGTATAGATGATAAGGAGTCATGGGACTTTGCTCCCAAAGTTCCACATAGTGTCAGACTCCTCCTGGGAGCCTGTGGGCTTGAGGCTGTCCTATGTGAAATGTGAAACATGGATAACTGGATGAAGGGGAGTATTTTTTCCTCCTTCTACAAATACTAGGTGTGACAACAGGGTCAAGTTCATTTTAGCACCCAGCACAGGCCGGGAACACAACAGAGACTCCGTAAATGTTTGTCAGATGACTAAGAGAATGAATCAAATAAAGAAAACAAAGCACGTTGAATTCAGGATCTGTATGTGGGGAAGGAGGAGGAGAATGAGGGATGGAGGAAGTTGTTTCTGGAAGAGAACAGGGGAGAGCGGGGCCAAGGGTGACCGTGGGAGCAGCATGGCCAGGACGGGCCAATGGGAAAGTGACCAGCTAAGCATCAAACACTGGCTTGGAAAACCACAGAAAAGGAGAAGCAGAACAACAACAACAACAACAACAAAATACTGCCAAGTCTCATGTAATAGGAGTAACACTACCGGGAAATAAAAGTAACTTGATTTCTTTAAAATCAGCAGTTAAAACACAAAGGGAACAACAACAAAAACAGGCTTGTCGAGTTGTTGTTTTTCAGGAGAACTGCAGTCGGATGCCCAAACACAACCACCTCTAGGCCACATGACAATTCATGGCTCACCTACTCTTCAGAATCCTCAGGAACATCTGAATCAGAAAAGAGAAACCAAGGGTGCTCACATTTACTCTCTTTACAAAACTTACCTGGAGAATCTGCCATGGGAGCATTATGACTGCAGGTATGGGAGAAATTCTTAAACTTTGGGGTGATCCGTCGAGGATGTGGTGTCACAAAGAGCTGTTTTGGGGTCTGGCCAAACTCCAAGATTTGGGTCAGCATGGCTACTTTCTCGTCAGGGTCCTCGATGCTTTAGGACAGAACACAAATAATGCAGTGACCCATGAGGTTCGAGTTCCCCGAGAGCACAAATGTCAAATACTGCAGCTCAACAGGAGAGAGGTTTAACTCTCAAATAGTAACAGCGACTATGTGCCAGGGCTGTCTGAGCCTCACCACAGATCTTAGAGAATTTTCTGAGGCTCGGTGACTTACCTAATGGGGAAAGCAAGATATAATTCACTGTAAAATTTCCACACCTTCGTATGATCAAAGAGCTGCATTCATCATTTAGACAAAGAGGTATTTCGTAACTCAAGTAGAAACTCCTTCTAGACGTATAGGTACCTGTTCAAGTCTACGCCTCCTTCATAGGTCAGGGGATGAAATACTGAAAAAAAAAAAAAAAGGAGATGAAAAACCCTCTTGGAAGAGGTACTGTGTGGTTATGATTGATGCTCTGCACAGAATCTTAAAAACTCAACAACTTTATACTTCTATTCAAAGAAAATGATTGTCACTTTGCAAAAAAAGACTAATAAAAACCAACAGCAATAAATATCAACCCGAGGGGCGCCTGGGTGGCTCAGTCGTTAAGCGTCTGCCTTCGGCTTGGGTCATGATCCCAGGGTCCTGGGGTTGAGCCCCGCATTGGGCTCCCTGCCCAGCGGGAAGCCTGCTTCTCCTTCTCCCACTCCCCCCGCTTGTGTTCCCTCTCTCGCTGTGTCTCTGTCAAATAAATAAAATCTTTAAAAAAATAAATATCAACCCGAGTTATCTTTTGCTGAGCAGAAATCCAACTGGCAGGTGAGACAGCCTCTTATCTCCAGGTATCTGCCCCCAGGGGAAGCGCCAATCACCCTGCACTGCCACGCGCAAGGTCCAGCCTGACCTGCCAGCTTCTCTTCCCCAGCTGACACCACCGGGCAGCCTGGCGGCAGGTAAGAAGGAGCCCGGGGGCGAGGGGGAGGGGGGGAGAGGGTGCTGCCCAAGCTTTCTTTCTGCTCCATTAATAAGAAGCCCTGGGGCCCTTCAGAGGTACAGGGGGGTGGGAGGTGCTCTTCTATCATATTCTGACTGAGTTTCAATTGAAATTAGTGAGTGGGATGGAAAGTAATGCTAACATTGGAAGACTTTAGAAAAACACCTCTGGGGATCGGGGCAAAGTTGGGGTTCTTTAGGCCAAAGTCCTTCCTCCTCTGTTACTCAGTATCTGACCCAGGGCCATGGAGCCCGGAGCCACTGTCTGCTGACAGAAGATGCTGCTGCCGAACAGGAGCTTGACTGCTCTGGCCGCGTTTTTTCCTCTTTCTTTGTGCTTTTGTTTTCATCAAACGCTGTATGACATTTCCAAGACTCACATACCGTTATGGGCCCCAACGGCATCACTCCCTTTTTGCTTGTAGCCGAATATTAGATCGATCCACTCGTGAAGGTGCTCTGACACATAATTGCTTTCCAACGCGTCTTTGCTCTTCTGGAGAAAGTCCTCGGGACCTATTAGATTAGACTCGATCAAAACATCACTGTCTTCATTTATTCTCTTGTCTATCCATATGCAGATAAAGCTTCTAGGAGAGGCAAGAGGTACATATTTGTTTGTTTTTTAAAGATTTTATTTATTTATTTCTCAGAGAGAGCGAGCATGGGAGCATAAGCAGGGGGAGGGGCAGGCAGAGGGAGAAGCAGGCTCCCTGCTGAGCAGGGGATGGGGGGGAGCCCTCTAGCCCAGAACTGTAGGGATCATGACCTGAGCTGAAAGCAGACCCTTAACCCACTGATCCACCCAGGTGTCCCGAGGTACGTATTTATTAATGAGGTTTTTTTTTGCCCCCATCATATAAAATATCAGTTCTGGTGGGGGGAGGGGAGTGGCGAAGATCACTTTCACAACATTTAGGTCTTTCGAATACATATTGATGTTTTTACATCATAGGCTCACAAGACTAGTTCTGATTTGGAACAGGACTAAGACAGCGCCTCATTTACACACAGAAGTATGCTGGTATTTTTTAAAAAACCCAGGCAACTAAATCACAATGCTGAAGTGGCCCCCCTGGGTGAAGAACTGCTGAAATTGGGTACTTCCAGGGTGGTACTCACTCCGTGCCCAGGGTGGGAGTTCCACATCATCAACCATCTGCCCTCCTTGTCTCTTTCCCAGATCCAACTTCAGACTATTGACTAAAAAGCTGACATCATCACCATAGAATTCTGGAATCAACTGAAATGGGGGGGGGGTAAGGGGGTGGAAAGAACAGCAACAAACATTTTTTTTTTTTAAGATTTTATTTATTTATTTGAGAGAGAGAGAATGAGAGACAGATAGCAAGAGAGGGAAGAGGGTCAGAGGGAGAAGCAGGCTGCCCACTTGGGAGGGAGTTCAGCCCGATGTGGGACTCGATCCCGGGACTCCAGGATCATGACCTGAGCTGAAGGCAGTCGCTTAACCAACTGAGCCACCCAGGCGCCCAGCAACAAACATTTTTTAAAGCTGTTAGAAACCACAAGCCCAGTGAATTATTAGCTTTGTTAACTGCTTACCTCTTTAAAATCAGTTGCGCCATCCAAACAGTTTTTCCAAGTTTCTGCGATACTAGATACAAAAAAAAAAACAAAACAACTGATCTTAGGTCTTGGGTCTGGAAATAGCAACCACAGGGCTGTCTATGCACCTAGGTGTTGTCCTACACTTCACCTGTATTAACTCATTTCTCTCATTAACTCATAATTCTCAACATGTGTATGAGGATCCCCCTTTGACAGAAGAGACGCCTTCTCTGAGCTCATGCAGGGAGTGGCCCGGGGTGAGGACACGGACCCAGACAGGGCGTCTCCAAGCCCACGCCATGAGCCTCCAACCACACAGTGCCTCATCAAAGGGCCAACACAGGCTGCTGCTTAAACACGGAACACCTAGCATGGCTGTTTTAATAGCTCATTTCAGAAAGGGATTAAACTTGACACAGCTTAGAAAGACTGGAGAGACACAGACCAAAAGATTAACAATGAATGTTATCTCAGTGTGGTGGGAGGTCGGGTGAACTTAATTTTCTCCATATTTTCTGGCTTTTTTTTTTTTTTTTTGGGCAAGGAAATATGTAAACACTCACAGGAAATTATATTCAAGTCACAGCAGAGTTATTTAGAATAAGGAGATGTTGGAAATGGTCTAAATGTCCAACAATAGAGGAACAGTTAAAAAATTATGGCATACATTAGGATGTAATACAATAATTTCAAAGTCACTGTTTTGAAGAACATCCGATATGGGGGAAAACTTCAATACTGAATACGACGAGGCTACAATAGGCAGGACAAAAGCTGTAATTAAAAGATGTTCTTACAATTACACACACACACACACACACACACACACACGACTAGAAAAAGCCTGAAAGGAACAGACAGATGTACCAATCAGCGATTCTTGGCATTTCTTGACATTTGTGTATCTGGTTTTTTGAGGCAAACACATTGTACGTTTACAATTAGAGAGTTTACGAACAGGTAGGTGAAGCATTGGGTCAAACCTGTTGAACATTCTATCTGCGTTATCAAATCTTCCATTCTGCAGACACAGCATGTACTCGGGCGCTAGAGGGGAAATCAGAGTTAAGTGAGGTAACAGAACCCCTGAGAACACACGAGAAACAGCACTGAATCGGGAGCACTGACACGGAATCTTACCGATCCTCACAAGATAAAAGAGCACGTAGCCAGGGGAAGAGTAGTGACTGCCGTACATGAACTTTGGCTCTGGCATTTCCTGGTAGCGGGTCTGCAACAGACCGAGAAAGATCCTGCTAGGCGTCGGCCGGGAAAACAGTGACTGCAGCAAGTAGTCAAACCTCAGATGGTGGCCTGGCTACGTTACATCCCTTAGTTTCTCTCTTAAGTAGGAAAGGGAGAAGAGGAGGGGGAAAACAACTGTGAACACACACAGTATTCCCGTGACAAGTATTTAGCTTTTCTTGGCTCAGTGGGAGCAATGCTGGGCCGGTTTGAACAGAACGGACGTTACACGGCCCTTGTGCAGTTCACCAGAGAGCACCTTCGCGCAACTAAATCCCTAAACTTGTGAGACGGCCTGCCTCCTACTTCCTGAACTGCAGGCAGAAGATGCAAATGGGGGTGGGTGAGCAGCTAAACTCACGGGGGAAGGCAGAGGGCAGAGAGGGAGTAAGAAAAAGTATGACCTAGATCTTCTAGTCACTCAGCATAGACCTCCCCTAAGTCTTGGAGAAATGAGTTTCCCTTACTATAAAAACAGAGGTCACGGCTCAGGGAGCTGCTTAGAAGCCAGGCATCCCCAAATCCACGTACCAGGAGTCTCTCCAGCCGTTCCTTGTTTAGAGACCCTACTGGCCTGCTAAGATCCCGGAACGTTCCTGGATTTGACAAATCTGTAGATTTAAAAAATGAATTAATTAAAATAAAGCTGGCAAACTTAATAACATTACCCCCCGCCATGGATACGCATGCACAGATTTATTTCTACAAATAATTTTTAAAAATTGAGACAAACCCATTAGAATTAGAGTATTTCTGATAGTCACTTACATAACTGTAAAGGTTAGGGCTTGAGTTTTAAGTCAGCAAGTCACTCAAGAGTAGCATCTCTAATTTGAAAATGCCCCAACTATTGATTTGTTTTAAAGATTTTTTTATTCATTTGAGAGAGACAGACAGAGAGAGCACAAGCAGGGGGAGAGGCAGAGGGAGAGGGAGAAGCAGACTCCCTGCTGAGCAGGGAGCCAGACTCAGGTCTGGATCCCAGGACCCTGAGATCATGACCTGAGCCAAAGGCAGAGGTTTAACCATCTGAGCCACCCAGGTGCCCTGATTTTTTTTTTTTTTTTAAAGAACTACTGGTTTTAAAAAACTATATTCCAAGGAAAACAACAACAAAAAATAAGCACATTTTAAAAGTCAGTATTCTTCTACCAAGATTTGCTGAAGTTTGAATTACAGTGAATATTATTATTGTGTGATAATAACATAATTTGAGAATTGGGGACTGAATATTATCACAGAAATAAATTCTCACAGTCCCAGAAAGTCTGTTATTTCTTTCAAGTGTGAGGGTTCGATTAGTGAACTGTCTAAAAGGAATTTATTGTTCACAATATATAATTTAGAATATTACAAAATCAAATTATAATACAGTCCCATTTTTGTTAAAATAATTTGAGAGAAATACATATACCACAAGGTTAAAATGGTTCTCTCTCATTAATGTGATTATTGATGATGTTTATTTCCTTCTTTAAATATTTCAGTACTTTCTAAATGTTCTAAAATGAATAATTATCGCTTTTGGCAATCACATTTTTGAGTGTGGATTTTAAAACAGGACAACCCGAGCAACAATTTTTCAAAGTGAAAAACAAGCATTTCAAATGTGGTCATGACATGTAATAACGACACGGCTTAAAAACATATGCATACTTTCTGGGCATGTCTTTCAAGAAGTCTGTGAGCCCTTGTTTTAGGATTAAAAGAATTTAAGCGATAGTGGAGAAAGCACACGTAAAGCCCATCTAACTGAGAGAACACCGACCCGGTACCTCGGGAGGGAAACTAGCAATCGTTAGTACGGAAATCCAGATGGGCTCGGATCTGCCTGCACAGATCACAGCCGGACCTCCGGCTTTCCTCTCGGCCCTCGGCTTCGTGGCATTTACCCAGCATTTACCCAGCGCAGCGCTGCAGTAGTCGCCGATTACCCACGGGAACACGGGGTACTGAGAGAGGTCGTTGCAGCTGCGGTCCGCCAGGTTGTTGAGGTGCAGGAGATACTGGTAGTTGGACAGGTGCCCGCGCTGCCACTGCAGCGTGTAGCTCTCGGCCGTGCGCTCCGCCGCGTGGTGCTCTAGGGGGACAGGGCCTGCCGGGTCGCCACTGAACTCGGCCAACGCTGGCTAAGTTGCACCGAGCGTATAAAAACTAGATGGTTGGGGCTTGTTTGTTTTTTTTAAGGTTTATTTATTTGACAGAGAGAGAGACAGAGAGAGAGGGAACACGAGCAGGGGGAGTGGGGGAGGGGAAGCAGGCTTCCCGCGGAGCAGGGAGCCCCACGCGGGGCTCGATCCCAGGACCCCGGGACCATGACCTGAGCTGAAGGCAGACGCTTAACCATCTGAGCCACCCAGGCGCCCAAAACTATTTATTTTTTTAAAGATTTTATTTTTTTTTTGCAAGGGAGAGTGAGCACGAGTGAGGGGAGGGGCAGAGGGAGAAGCAGGCTTCCCGCGGAGCAGGGAGCCCGACGCGGGCCTCGATCCCAGGACCCCGGGACCATGACCTGAGCTGAAGGCAGACGCTTAACCCATTGAGCCTCCCAGGCGCCCCCAAAATTAGATGTTTTAAATGTAGAACCTCTAATGCATTTTTGAAAAATACGTTTTAAGAAAATGAAAAGTAGGCTGTGGTTGGTTTTCACCAAATGCCTGTTGCATTAAATATGAATATCTGCAAGGATATTCACCAGGAGGGAATATTATTACATATCTAAAAATACTGTCTATGTTAAATGTATGATATAAAACATATATGAAGGCATGGAGCAAATATGTAGTTATTACATGGTAATGCATAATATTTACTATATTATATATGGCCTGCAATATATACAAAGTGCTTGAGGTTTAATGCCTTTAAGAAGCCATGACCATTTGTAAAAGCTTAGTTCCTCCATTTTTTATGAAATCAAAACAAAAACAATCTGAGTTCTCTTTTAGATCAGTAAGAGGTCTACTACCACAGATTTGCCAATGTCTATGTATTCTGTAGGCATGTGAAGAGCGAGGCAAAGAAAAGAACCTGCTGAAGGAGAAAAAGGTCTCTGGCAGGAAAACATGATTTCTCAAAGGAGAAGAACCAGAAAGTCCCCCACACCCCCTCAGGAAACATGGAATCACAGAGTATGTGGCACCACGGAGAACCTTCCTCTTGGAGAGCATAAAGTGACTCAACTGTTCTATTTCATTCGGAAAATTCTGCTTTCAACGTTTTGTTGGCTGTACCAAGCAACTTATCTAACTCATCTGTTGACTCAGTATTTATCCTTATTTACTTTTACCAAGTTTCTTCTCTAACCAGCTATGAGGAAAGAGCTTAAAAACTCAAAATGCTTATTCTCATTTCCCACACTCCCAACACCACAGAGAAAGTCTGACCAACCTGAGTAATAAGATCAGAGGGAATAAGGAAGCTTCAAGAAGACAGGTTTTTAGGTCATGGCAAGTGTTATGACTTGAGATTTTAGGACTCACCATGAAAGTTGAGTTTTTTGTTGTAATCTTGTTATATAGTTAGAGGAATAAAATGAAAAAAAATTTAATCAGGAGGCAGGAAATAACAGTCAACTTGTATCAGAGCTATACTTACTCATTAAGTAAACCTAACAGCTTAATGTGAGAAGAAAAAAATTTGCACTCTAAGCCTACTATAAAATAAAATATATTCCTTATTGAAAATAAACTATTCTTCTGAGGGAAAATTCCATGTCTAAGGGAGTAAGACTAGCAAACAAAGTTAAGATGGCAGTAATAAAATCCCAACATCTATTTTTGAAAATCAACCCATTCTAGTCATCTAACAACTCTGTAAACAAGAATAATTCAAGCGTACAATTTCATATGTTTATGACTAAAAAGAAAAATCAGGTGTTCTTTCTGATAAAGGTGGGAAACTTCACATTTTTATGGAAGACTGAGGGATTATTAATTAAAAGCAAATCAAGTCCCATGGTACTATACGGAGTACAGAAGGCTCATGTGTTCCTTTTGTGTCGTTTTCCAGCTTTGTGATTAAGACCATATAGTTAACGATTACAAACACATGAGGGACAACTCACTGCTTCAAATTAAGAAACCAAGTCCCGGTTTCCAAAAACGAATATAGACAAGACTGAAGAGAGAAATAATTAGGTGGATTCTTTATAATCCATTCAACTTGGGGGTTGTTAAAATATAAAAAACATTTAAATATGTTGATCAAGAGTTTTTCAAACACACAATCGGAGTGAACTATTGCCAAATTTCATTTATATGAAATTATGATTTAGTTTGTAGAATGCCATTTTGCCAACCCTAGTTCCTGATGAGAAGGAATAAGGAGACCCAGAGAGGTGATTCTAGATATAGCATTTCTCTTCTCCTATTTCCTAACCCAGGTACTTAGGAGTTGAACGACCCTCATGTGAATGGATACAATGAAGGGTGAGCACCATACCTAGATATGTGGCAATATAAAAATAGAGGTCATCTCTATCTTGAGGTTCATAGAACTTTAGGTAGATGTCAGAACAGAGATCGTCTTCTGTGCAAAACACTTCCAAGCCCTATAAATTCAGAAAGAAAACAGTAAAATAAATAGCACTGTTTACCTTGCCATCTCAAAACAAGTGACATAAGTACAAAAGCTTTTCAGTTAAAGGTCCATATTTTTTATCTGCAGATTTTATTTATTTACATTCTCCACATATAAATTTGATTCAGCGATGCACATACATGCGTGTGTTTGTATGAATATGTGCATGGTACGTGTATGCGTGCACGCACACAGTTCATCCAAAAGAAAGACTTGGAGACAACGTGCTTACAATATGACATACTTGCACTTTTCAGACATGCCATGAGTGTTTACAAGTCAATAAACCATTGGCTAAACTGAAGATCTGACAATCATCCACTGAGAAGTGACATTCCACAGGAACTCACCAAAGGCATGAGGCCGTGCCTCCTTTTGTAAATGCGGCGGACATCTTGGAGTGTTATCTGGACCACAGGTTTCTTTAAAAGTAGAAAGACAATCTCAAACATCAACGTTTGGACACAATTAGAAGCTGCCCTTTGGTATCAGAAAAGTGAAAAAGTGGCCAAATCTTGACTTCCTGACGTGTTACATGTGAACAATCAGAAAGGCAGCTCTTAGAACAAGGCATTTCTGGTTTTACGTCCTGGTCTGCCCTTTTCCACTAACTTTATGACCCTGGATGAGTCTCCCTACCCTCGCTCAGGACCCCCCAAATGATAATGCACTGATCTATCATTCAGGGTCCTGCAAGGTTGCTGAGTGATAAGGGATATTAAAGTGCTGGTACAGATAACCTCTCAGGAATTTTGCTATCTTTTTATAGATCAACGGTTTTCTTGGAACTGATACAGTACCTCTTATTTTAGAATCTTGTCCTTTATCTCTGTAAAAACTACATTGTATTAAGGCTCATAAACAACTACGGTATTAAGCAGGGCCTCTAAATTTTTCTTTCTTTATGAGGAGGAAAATTTTCTTGCTTCTCAAGAGGCTTAAAACACTAGTAAGAGCAGAATGAGGTTAGAAAAGCCACTGAGATTGGCTAAATGGTGACACATCCACCTTTCCCCAAGTGAGAGGGAGGAAAAGCCCACATGTGGAACTGTGGAAACTTCCTGAAGACTGGTCAAGGATCCTAGCCCAGAGATTTGGGAGGGGATACATGCTCACACTATGGATCCTGAAGCTCTAGCACATACTCAGATATTATCCCAAAAGTTTTTGACCCAAGCCATAGTAACAGGAGTGGTCAAGCCAACTATGAACACCAGTAGAGCATGCCCTTCAGCGATGTGTAGCGTCTGTGGGAGGGCTTGGTGGGGGTGCCCTGCCACCTGGTGGACAGACCTGTCATAGCACCATTCCTCACACAAAAGCAATAGATGTTTTAGTGACAGAATGACTGACCCACCAGCCTGGAGAATTTCCAGGACGTAGCCTCCTATGACAGAAAACACGTTCTTTAAGCTGCCCTGCCAAAGGGTCCAATGCACTATCAGAGTGTATTAGCATTTCTGTTCTTCTAATGAACCACTCCAAAAAGTGTTCACATCTAGATAAAGCGACATATTTTTACAAATTTTAGTGTGGAAATCCGAGTTTATCTTTACTATCTGGCCCAGTAAATCTAAAGTCACTGAGAAAGAGAAGACTGTTTCCACCATCACGGTAGAAGCACCACAGCTGTTCGATGACAGAATCTCCACCGGCCCCTCTGTGCTGGCTGGCAGGGGACCACGCCATACTGCTTGTGATAGACTCAGATCTACTGATTCTGCTCCTCATTAAAGAAAAACAAGTAATACCCACATATATGGGCACAGAAGCAGATATACAGAAAATACCCATTTCTCTTTAATTTTAGTATATTTCATTGGTCTCTTCCAGAAGTGCTTCCAAGGAGAAAGGTATAAACCTCTAACAAGCCTTTACTAAAATTGGGGGCTGGAGGGCAGGCAGGGTTTCTTGTCACAGTGAGGGCAAGGGACCCCAGAATTACTGAAAAGAGATCGGAAGAGCTCGAATCTGGATGAGCGGGCATCAGGATGACATAGGGAGGCCTGTTGAACACACAGCTGCTAGAGGGGAAGGGGGCGGAATTTCGATCCTCGCCAAACTATACCACCAGAACTGTGAGGTCAAGTTCCCAGGAAAGACGAATATTCCAGTGCTAAGGCAGCTCCCCATCTGACCCTGTGTCTCTCCTTACCGGGTACCCGTTGAGAGGCTGAAAATACAGGTTTGTGTCGGTGATGCACACGTGTCCAGGATTCGTCACCAGCGGCGTCACCATTTCTGCTTTGCATTCCATGTGCAGCTTTTCAGAAACACTCTGGAATCTGACAATGCAGTTTTCAGCAGAAGTAAGAAAAATCACAAACCAATCTACTTTCTCAAAGGGAGCTACAGTGTGACTATGTATGGACATCTGTCTAAACACTACACTTAATACCAGAAAAATGGTACTATAAAAATTGGTGGTTTAAATAAAACTGACATTCTTTAAAAAAAAAAAAAACAAAAAACCTGACATTCTTTCAGATGGTCTAGTGAGAACTCAAACAACAACAACAGATGAGTTTATCACAGAAGAGAAGACAAATAAGTAATACCAAAGAACCCTTTATAGCTGAACTCTTTTTCCTCCCAAAATAAACTGGCCTTGAAACTATTCCTATATTAACATATTTTTCTATTGTTGTGTCTCTAAGACCTATTTTTAGAGTCACAGGTGCCATTTACTTCACACAGCACTTTATAAGGCCACGAGTCCGTAATTACAATTACTTGAACGTCAGTTCCAAGGTATGTTCTTTTGCGGCTGCAGTAAACCCAGTCAAATGTGATTTTTCTACTACCCCTCCTAAATTATTTAACTAGTCGAAAAAGTCCATTTTCTTTTTGCTTTACTAATGAGTAAAAAAAAAAATTAGAGGGGAAACAACCAAGTCATCAATATCTGAAGGCAAGTCCTTAGTGACATAACTGGGTTAAAAATAAATCTCCCCGTTGTTATAAGTAACAATGGGATGAAAGCCCACGGGACAGACTTCTCCTTCCTTAGGAAGTGAAGGGGACCTCAGAGCTGTCACCCTAACCACACACACCGGCCAGAAGAGCTACACAAGCCTTTTTTAAAAGCGGTCAGGAAGCTTAAGATGCAAAGAAACCTGAGTGAAGAGAGTAATGGTTGGGTGGCCTTGGGTGGCGACAGATAGAAGGGGAAGGGCTGCGGGATGGAGAGAGGTCTAGAAAGAAGCCGAAAGCAGAGTCGGGACTGAAGAGCAGAGGCGCAAACATGCTGCCACTGGGTGGGGAGCAGGGGGAAATCTTCCAGCGTTTAGAAGGCTGGTGGCTCGGCCGAAAGGCGTACAATATCTCCAGGATCCTTCAGGCGCTCAGGTCCTGAAGGTCTTGATCGCTCCCCAGAAATAATTGTAGGTAGCAGAGGTGGGGAACGTAGCTATGGCTGCCATGAAGCCTTCACCCCGCTCAGTCACGGATCGCGTTGTCAGAGCCCCGGCACAAGAAGGGGTGGGCACGCAACCACTTCTGGAGGTAAACAGCATTTAGTTGGGTCTCTACTTCCAGATAAGAGAAATGAAGAATTACTTGAGCAAGCTGAACAACAGACCAGACACAGCAGAGAAGTCCAGTCAGGCTAAGAAAGGAGGGTCAGAAAAACAAAGAACAAATGGAATGCTAACAAACACTAAGACAGTGGGTTTAAAATCAACTACATCAATAATTACATATGTCATTTAGGTCCATCTGGTTGAGGGTTGTTCAGATCATCTATACTTTGTTGATGTTTTTGTCAATTTTGTTCTATCATCAATTACTGAGAGAAGGGTGTTGAAATTGCCAATAACTGTGGAATTATTCCTCCCATTTCTGTCAAATTTATGCCTTGTGTATTATGAAGCTATATTCTTAGGTTCATATACATTTAGATGTGTAATGTCTTCTTGATGTGTTGAACCCTTCATCACTATGAAGTATCCCTCCTTATCCATTTGTCTTGAAGTCTGCTTTGTCCTCTTTTAATCTAGTCATACCAGGATTTTCATGTGGTATGATTGCATGGTATATCTTTTTCTATCCCCTGTTTTGAACCTGTGTCCTCATTCTGTTTCTGAAAACACACACAGTTTATATAGTTGAGTCTTGCTTTTTATACAGTCTGACAACCTCTACTTTTTAATGGGGATGTTTAATTCATTCATTCATTCAATTTTTTAGAGAGAGTGAGGGCAAGCATGGCGGGGGGGGGGAGGGCAGAGGGAGAGGGAAAGAGAGAATCTCAAGCACACTCCATGCTCAATGCAGAACCCAATGCAGGGCTTGATCTCACAACCCTGAGATCATGACCTGAGCTGAAACCAGAAGTCGGATACTTAACCAGTTGAGTCCCCCAGGTGCCCCTAATTCATTTATGATAAAAAGAATACATCATGATCAAGTTGGATTTATCCCATGAAGAAGGTTGGCTTAACACTGAAAAAAAAATCAATGTAATTCACAACATTAACAGAATAAAGTAGAAAAAAATGTGATCATTTCAGTAAGTGCAGAAAAAAATATTTAACAAAACTCTAAACCTATCATTGAAAATACTCTCGGCAAACCAGGACTAAAAGGGAGCTTCTTCATTCTGATAAAGGGCATCCATGAAAATCCTACAGCTAGCCTCGTTCTTCAGTTGTGAAATAAACCCTTTTCCCGTAAGATCAAGAACAGGGCAAGGATGTGCTCCCACCACATCTATTAATTAAACAGTACAATGAGGCAAGACATAGAAATAAAAGCCACAAGGATTTCTGTGAAATGGTCATTATTCACAGATTAAACAATTATGTATATAGAAAACTCTATGCAATCTATAAAAAACCCACTAGGACTAATGAGTAAATCTGGAAATGTCACAGAATACAAGGTGAATGAAAAAAAAAAAAAACCCACTGTATTTCTATATACCAGTAACAAATAATTGGAAAAATCAAATTCAAATAGCATCAAAAAAATTCCCAATCTAGGAATCCGTCCATCCACATATGACCACATCGACAGACTGAACATATAACAGTGGGGGAAAGCGGGTGAGGTGTAAAAGACCTCTGTGGATTGTCTTTATTATCTTTACACCTTTTCTTTAGATCTAAAATTAGCCTCACATAAAGTACTTTAAAGGGTATGTTTTGGGGTGCAAAAGGGGGAAACGTGAATATGAAACTATAAATTACATGGCGTTAGAGAAGAAGCATCGGTACTTGAGTATTGTAACAGTAGGGCGGAGGGCCAGAGAATACCCTTTGAAGAGACACGTGTTGAAGTAATTACGGGGCAAGTGTCATGACATCTTGTAATGTAATTTTAAGTGATTCTGAAAAAGGTATGTATTTTATACACAATACATATACATGCAGGTACACATTACCTATATGTATATACACACATACCATATACACCTGCACGCACACGCACTCACAGAGCATGCGCGAACTAAAGCAAATCTGACAAAATGTTAACAAACTAACCCTGGTGACCTGTAGGGTATCTGTGTTCATTATGTTACTCTTTCAACTTGTGAGGATTTGAAATTTTCAGAATGAACAGTAGAGAAAAATAAATATAGTACCCTTCATTTCTTCAATAAGAAAGTATTTCCTCAGAACCATGATGAAAGCTTATTTTGGCAAAAGTTTACTTTTTTCTTTGAGAGGAAGTACATAACACTGGAGTATCTTATTTTATTCCGCAAAAGTTTCTTCCCCAAATTCTTCAGCCTAACATTTTAGAGACTGGATTAAATTAAAACTTCCAGAGTGAGCCATTTTTTAAATTAATGTCACATTGAAGCCCAGGATTGAAAAAATCACTACTCAGAAGAATTATGCATTCTAAGTAGGTCAAAAGAAGCTAATTCCTCTTATTCCTTTTCCTTCCTAAAATGGAAGCTATTATTCCCCCAGCAATCCACTTACCTAATATATCCTACAAGTATTAAAATAGAAAGGAAATTAATGCTATGTAGGTAAAACAGAAAAAGAAGCAAACAAATATAAACGCAGAAACATTATTGGCCAGATGGCTTCACTGGCAAGTTCTTCAACACTTTAACGTGTAGTGTGAGGGTCACAAATCTCACAAAGATAGCAATAAAACAGAATATTACAAACTATTCTCATTTATAAACATAAGCATCTAGCAAAAGCCTAATACATCATAATCCATAAATGAATCTATTCAACCAGTACATTCTGTTGTCCTAAGCTGCAGTGATCCACAGATTTAGCAGAACTCTAAAATAAGAATCTAAAATAAAAATACTTAGTGAATAGGGCCTGCAATAATTTATACATAAGATTTTGTACACATTAAAGAGTTTACATATAAAGTTAATGGAGCTAATCACAAAGTCTAGCAGGGTTGCTGAAAACAAAATGAATACACAAAAATCCACTGCCTTCTATATATCAACAATAAACGGAAAATGAGCTTTTTAGGACACTATTTACAACACCATCAAAAATATGAAGTACTTGGAATAAATCTAGCACAAGAGAGGAAAGACCTTTATGGAAAAAACCATAAGGAAGACATTAAAGAAGGCTAAATAAATGAGTGATTCATTGCAATCACAATCAAAATCTCAGGGAGCTTTCTTTTATGGAACTTGACAAGCTGTTTCTAAATTTATATGGAAGTGCAGCATAAGGCCAAGAATAGTGAAGACATAAATTAAAAAGGAAAACAAGGTGTGAGGCCCTGAACCTGCAGATGTCGGGAGTTATTATAAAGCTATGTGACTGATACAGTGGTATTGCTGATGAGATGCAAATCTACTTAGTATGAGGCAAGAAAGAAATAAGAGAGCAGGTTCATATAAAAGCATAATTATTTGCAGGAAATATCTTCATACTTAGAAAAGCCAAGAAAATCAATGAAAAAAACACTGGGTCAGTAGGAATGTAGTCAGTCTCCTGGTCCCTGCAGGACTCCTTAGTAAGATACTGATCACAGACTGAAAGGTCAGGAAAGACCTTCCGGAACAACCAACAGCTAAGCTGAAATCAGATGAGTAAGTAAGAGTCAGCCAGGTGCAAAAGGGGAAGGAGGTCAAGCACTCCAAGCACAGGCAACACATCCAAAGGCTCAGAGGGAAGAGAGCACGGGGCATGCTCGGGATCTGTATAAAGGCAAAGAGCCAGCACACAGAATTCGAGACAAGCCACCAGCGACCAGAGTAGTGCGCAAGGGCTAGATTGGAAGCCATGGAAGGTTGAGACTTCACCCTGAGGGCAATGGGAAATCTGGAAGAGTTTTAAACAGATAAGTGACATAATTAAGTAAGTTCTTTAGAAAAACCACATTTTCAAAGTACACTCGGGACAGTAGGGAAGCGAGGACAGGAGAAGGGCAGACTGGGGGCAGGTGGACAAGCTAAGAGCTGTTAGAGTGTTCTGAGTGAAGGTGATGGTGGCCTGAACTCAGGCAACAACAGTGGGAAAAGATGGTGACAGACCAGAAAGATCTTAAGGAGCATCAGTCAACAGGCCTGGCTGACTGACCAAAGTCAGGATGGAGAAGCCGAGGCCAGGGCCATTCCCGACCACGCGCAGGTCTGGGTGCCACAGATGGTAACATGGGCGGTTTGCGACAAGCTGAAGTAGGCATACAGGTTGAAGACGTGCACTCCTCTTAGAATAAGAGAATGAGAGGCGCCTGGGAGGCTCAGGTGGTTAAGCATCCAACTCTTGATTTTGGCTCAGGTCGTGATCTTGAGGTCCTGGGATTGAGCCCTGCATCTGTATCCATGATCAGCAGGGAGTCTGCTTAAGATTCCCTCTGCCCCTCCCCCTACTCACACGCACACAAGCGCTCACTCTCTCTCTCTCAAATAAATAAAAAAAAAAAAAAAAATCAGGGAATGAAATCATTAACTTACCTGTTTTTGTCAAATGATGTCCTAGCCAAACGTGACTGCAAAATAGCTGTTATCTATGAAAACAGAACCATTTAAAATTAAGTATTTATGAGTAAAACCTCAATATAATTTAATTCATAATAAAGACAATTTACTGTAGAAATTCTTACCATAGCAGTTTGGTCCCCTAGTTTGTCAAGGCGGGACGCTCTGTGAAGCTACAATATTACAAATATACAGGAATTTATTTTTTTCTCTAAAACAATATGAAGGTATTTCCTTAGAAGCAACGAAAAACAGCAATCATTCTGTTACTTAGTAATGGTTAAAATCACTTCTGATATATCTATGACTTCTTTCTAATATATAGTTTTCAAATTCAACATATTCAAGTAAATCTGCTTCATATTTATAAAAGAAATTGTGGTTTTAGTGAGATGTATGAATATGATTTTTTTTTTAAGTTTCTGCCTAAGTTTGCTTTGAATTCTTTGCCTGGTGAATGCCCGAGTGAGGCACTGGCTTACCTGAAGCAAGGTCTCCACAACATCTTCCACTTTCCCTGAAACATCCAATTCAAAGACATACTCCATTTTGCCCTAAGAAATCAAATCAAAGGAAGAGAATAAGCATGTCAAACCGTATTCCCTTAAGAACATCTATCTGCAACACCCCTGCTGACGTTTCTTTTCCTTAATCTAGGCACATAATCACTACAAACTTCCCCCTTAGTACTGCTTTAGCATGTTTAGGCATGTTCTGGTTTTGATTTTGTCTCAAGGTATTTTTTAACTTCCCTTTTTACTTCTTCTTTGACCCATTGCTGGTTCATGAGTGTTGTTCAACTTCCACACACTTGTGAATGTTCCTCCTGCTATGTATTTCTAGTTTTATTCCATGGTGGGCAGAAGGGGTACTCGATAGGATTTCAATCTTGAATTTATTTTGATTCGTTTTGTGACCTAACATGTGATGCATGCTAGAGAATGTTCCGTGTGCATTAGAGAAGAATGTGGATTCTGATGCTGTTGGGTAGAGTGTTCCCTATGTGTCCCTTAGGTCCATCTGGTCTACAGTGTTGCTCAGATCTGCTGTTTCCTAAATGACCTTCTGTCTGGATGTTCTACCCATTACTGAAAGTGGGGCGCTGAGGTCTCCTATTATTATTGGGCTGCTGTCAATTTCTTCCTTCAGTTCTGTCAATGTCTGCTTCAAATACTTAGGTGCTTGGAGGATGAGGGACTAGATATTGTGAAGATTAATGTGATGTGTCACATGCTCTCCTCTTCTCTGAGTCCGCCGGGCTGTGCTGTCCTCTGTGTGCTGGACCACGGGTCCCCTGGAGCAGCAGCCTGACGTCCAGGTCCTCCTTGTTTTCAGCGGCCCCCAGGCATCTAGGGTCCCCCAGGTCCTGTCACCACTCCAAGACAGGCAAGACAGAAGCCAGTCCCTCAGGCAGCCACCCCAACAGTCAGAAACCTGGACACATGGTCCAGTCTTTTCTTTCCCTCCCCGGGAGAAGTTGGGAGCTGAGAGTTCCCTCCCATCACATGGTATTGGGCCCAGGGAGGACCTACATTGAAAGGATGTTACAAACATCCCCATCAGCCTCAGTGAGGCTGGTTTCATGCTAACCTGGGTGAAGGGCCTCTTAATTGGTTTCCAGGTTTGTCACAAAAGGCATTGGTCCATGTATTATTTATTTATTTTTTTTTTTCCTCAAAGATTTTATTTATTTATTTGAGAGAGAGAATGAGAGAGAGTGAGTACATGAGAGGGGGGAGGGTCAGAGGGAGAAGCAGACCCCCTGCCGAGCAGGGAGCCCGATGTGGGGCTCGATCCAGGGACTCCAGGATCATGACCTGAGCCGAAGGCAGTCGCTTAACCAACTGAGCCACCCAGGCGCCCCTGGTCCATGTATTATTGATTGAATCAGGGTCGCCATGAGAGGAACAAGGGCTTCCTATTCTGTCATCTCTCAGGGTCACCATCAGTAGTACTATGCCCCTCCTAAATGTGGAAATCCTCGGGTGTTCTAATTCGCACTGGAACAAAAGAGCTTTTCTTTGTTTCAGACAACCTCCCTCATCTCCCTTTACATAACTTTTCAATGGGCCAAGGACTGCTTTGCACTTCAAGTGGGTATCAGGAGAGCCTTAGCAGGGAGAGCCCCCCAGGCGGTGGTTCTCAGCTTGGGGGCCAGATATCCTACCACCCCCATGAGGCTTTGGTCAATGTATGGAGGAACTACCCAGCAGCAGGGGTGATGGTGTAGTAGGTGTGTTTAGTTTAGCCTGGGAGCAGGCTGCAGTGCAAGGGATGCCCCACACAATTAAGAACTATCCTTCCCCAAATGCCAGCAGCCCCATCCGAGAGTAATTAAATCTCGTATTTATGGTTTCTGACTTAACTGGCACATGCACGTGTTTCTTGTGCATAAAGCCCCAAGGCCACGGCGTGTGGTCCGCGGGTCCCACAACTGCTGGCTAAGAAACTGCAGACAGAGACTCACCCTGCGGGGCTGTCTGCTCAGAGAGGGTGGCTTTTCCTCATTCACAGAGGTGGCCCTATCCAGAGCACTAGCCTGATGTAGGTCCTATAAAGACTCTCTTTTGGTAAAAGCTATCCCTTTACTATATATTAAGTTGTAGCAAAAGAATTAAGTAAAGCACAGAATGGTTAAATGTAAAATCTTTGCTTACTTGACAAGTCCTGGAAAACCAGACATTGTATTCACGTCTAGTCATAGCTTCTCCCAGTTAAGAAAATTTATAAATTATGACTGAGCTCCCAAATAAGAGTATTTTATAACCTATCAATATTTCTCAAGCATTTAAAAAAATACATTCTCAGTAATATCCAGCAAAATAACCTTATAAATGATACATATTCTGATTTCAGTTTCCAATCTAATAATTTAAGCTTTTTTCCTCCCCTATTAGACACATTTGTTTTTAAGTCAAAAAGTTAGTTGAAATCTCTTGGACTAAAGTCTGTGGCTCCCTTGGGTAATTTTGTTGTAACTGCTGGTAACAAGCTTTTTAAATACTCATTATTATTATTATTAGATTAGATTAAAGATGTTAATAAAGTCACAAAATCTTATTGCTTAAAATCACTATACAAATTGCTAGGAATAAATGAAAAGCTTTACTTACCCTTTCAATTTTATATGGGGCAACAATGTTGTGTTCTTTAATGAAATATACCTGAGAAAGACAAATCAATACTTGTAAAATAACTAAAAATTTTTAGAGTAATGAGTTACCACAAATTAGGATATTATGAATCAAATTTAAATCCTTGTTCCATAATATCAATTTCCAAAAGCACTTGCATTGATCTTCGTATGGCTTTAATGTCCTGATGTTGGAATAATAAATATAAAATTAAAAAGAGATTCATCAAGGCAACAAGGTAGCAACCATTCCTGGATAAATAAAATATTTAGGATGTTTTATGAATGTCCGTACTTGCACCAAGAAACCAAGTAGACAGGTGAAGGAAGCTAATCGAAGTGCCAATTTTCTACGAAAAGGGTAAAACAGAGTCACTGTGGTATGAGATACATTTCTAAACATAAAGAAATTTCTCTTCTCTAGAGGTGATCTGGGCACACGGTGTTTGGTACTACACTGTATGTCAGTAACCATGTCCAACAAGCAACATCACCCCCAGAGCCATCAACATGGAGCCTCTACCTTGAGCCCTGCCTTCCCTCCTGTTTTGGTGAAGGGTGTGCCTGGGCCCTCAAAACCACTCACTCGACGAGGCCACAGAATGTAGACCTCCCTCCACCTGTCAGCTGTTCAAAACGTTTGCTTCTGTGGTAATACGGTTGCTGCACTCTCTCCCATTAGAAAAAAACCATAGATAAAAACCCTCCCTTGTCTTATATCCTCCTTTTGCCATTTCTGTTCCTTTTTCTGGCAAAACTCTTTGCAAGAGCTGACTGTACTTTCTCTTGGGCTCAGGACAGGTTTTCAGCCGCAACACGTTACGGAATCCAGTCCTGAGAAGGTCCTAAAAGGTGCAGAGGATTTCCATGTCACCAAACCCAAGAGTCTGTTCTAAGGACTTCCTCGAGTCTGTCTCACAGAGCACATGACAGAGCTGATGGTTCTTCCTGAAGCAGTTCAGGAAGCCGCCACTCCTGGCCCTCCCCGACCTCATCTGCTGCTCCTTCTGTCTTCCTTCGGACCCTCTGTCTTCCCAACCTCCCCCTGGCGGAGCTCCTGAGCCTTCGTCCTCAGACCGCTCTGTGCACACTCACCCCCTGGGAAGCCTCATCCAGCCCCAGGGCATTACCCAGGTTCTCTTTCTCACCTCCACCTCCTCCCTGAGACCCACACCACTGCTCCCAAATGCCCACCAGCCTGTTCCTCTCGAAGGCCACGTTCTAAACAAAGCGTGCTCTTCAGGCTTCTTTATAGTAGTAAAGGGCACGGCTATCCACCCTGTTGGAGTCATTCCTGACTGTTTTCCTTTGCACCTTGCAACTAACGCATCAGCACAACTGTGGGGTTTTCCTTCAGAATATATCCAGACACTGACCATCTCCGACCCTGCCATCGCTACCATCCTGATCCAAAACCTCTGGGTTCTCAGCACCCCTAAAGGCATGTGTCCCCCACAGCATATTCTCTACCGGGGCTCCAAGAGATGTGCAAATACATACAAAGCAGACGGTGCCCCTCCTCTTCTCAGCTCTCCAGGGGTTTTTCGCTTTTGTGCTTTATTCGGACTCCTTACTGTGGCCCGTAGGCTCTCCGTGATGTAGCCCCTGCCACTGCTCCAACCCTTCTTCCCAGCTGCCCTCTGAGCCTTGTCCCACCAGGCACACTCATCCTCACGGCGCCTGCCACCCGCCAGGACACTCGCCTCTCAGGGCCTCCACTGCTCAGGATGAGCAGCCACTGGCTGGCTCATTCCCTCAGGCCTTCCGAGCAGTGTGCCTTCACACGCACCTCCTTGGCCAGGCGCCCCTGGCCGTTGTATCTGCAGCAGCGCCCATGCTCCTCATCCTTCTCTATCCTTTCGTCCTGTTGGCATCGTCGTCATTACAGAAGATGTGTGCTTGTTGTCGCTTGCCCCCATCTCAAGGTAAAGGCCATGGGGAGAGGGGCTTTGGATATTTTGTTCTTTCCTATAGCTTCATAACCTTGAATATATTTACTGAATATATAAATGCCTGAATAAAAGGCATTTATTTTTTACATTATTTACACACATACACCCCTCTTTATTCTACAAAAGAAAATTTGGAAGCAAAACTCTCTAAAGCCTAAAGGACCGTAACATATTTCTGAAACAGTGTGACCACTTACGGTAATCAAAACCCACAGAAGTTGGTTTTTTTTTTTTTTTTTTTAATTGTATACTCAATCTAGGAAGCTTGAAATAATTCTAGAAAGAGGAACTTCTGACTGATTACCCCTCGATGTGAAGCTGGTTTTGAGTTTGCCTGACACGAGACCTCTTCTAATAAGTTTGTAAATACACTAAAATGGATAATTTTTATTATGGAAACCCCACTTCTGACTGAAAAAGTACCCCTTCCTTTCAAGATATGGATTTATTAGCATTAGGCCATGATGCAGAATACTTCAGAAATAATGAGAGCACAGGTGCAGGTCACAATTATTAATAATGCATTCTGCCCCTGCCCCCCCAACCACCACCCAGAGTAATAGATGGCTACAGCTGCTTGCCAATATGCCGGTTCAAACAACATAAAGTCAAAGATAGGCTGTGAAATGCTTTCTTCCTTAAGATTCATTGACTCATGCAAGGCAGACCTCGAAAATCACCTAATCTGATAACTCTCGGCTTTCATAAAATACTTTTCAATATACATTAAAAAGTGTTCCATGAACAGAAGTGGTAAGCGGTCCAAAAACCGCTGGGAGCACCCTCTGCTCCCACCCATCTGCCTCCTTGAGACCCTCATGGCACTTCCTCTGGACCCTCTCTCTGTTTGCTAAGGCTTTGAGTCAAGTCTTGAAGTAAAGAAAGCTGCGTCTTTGCTTCCCACAGCTTCTCCTACACTTACTTGACCGTGGAGGGAATTTCCTTCGAACACTTCACAGAACTAGGGCCCTGCACATAGTCTGGGCAACGTGATCTCTAACCCTCTCATTTTAGAGATGAAGAAGGTAAAATCCAGAGCAAAAAGCAAGTGGGAGAGACCCTCTACTCCCGTCTTATTTATAAGTTTAAAAAAAAAAATCTATAGATGATATAAGTGTATGATAGGAGAAAAACCGTGTTTTGATTTTTCTGTGTTGCCAGTACTGAGCATGATACTGGGAACATATATGTATGCCGAATAAATCTGGGATGAAAAAAAGGTGAGGACCCCAAGCCTCAGAATGTGTACAAGACAGCACATCCTGAGTTGGTTGTCACCACGAGTCACCCTGAGACCCCCCTCGGTGCTGTGCTGCTGGCCTCCCACCTTCTAAATGGCTCGGAGAGCACAGGAGGGACCATAGTGCTTCCAGCTCAACCCCCACACGCTGTCAGGACTCCTGAGGATGAAACCACAAGCCTGCAGGCCTCACACAACTTTTTTTTTTTAATTTTTTATTGTTATGTTAATTCCCATACATTACATCATTAGCTTTAGATATAGTGTTCCATGACTCATTGTTTGTGCATAACACCCAGTGCTCCATGCAGAACGTGCCCTCCTCAATACGCATCACCAGGCCAACCCATCCTCCCACCCCCCTCCCCTCTAGAACCCTCAGTTTGTTTTTCAGAGTCCATCGTCTCTCATGGTTCGTCTACCCCTCCGATTTCCCCCCCTCCTCACACAGCTTTATAAACATTAAGGGTCTCAGGGCACCTGGGTGGCTCAGTCAGTTAAGCATCTGCCTTTGGCTCAGGTCATGGTCCCAGGGTCCTGGGATCAAGCCCCGCATCCAGCTCCCTGCTCAGTGGGGAGTCTGCTTCTCCCTCTGCCCCTCCCCCTGCTCATGTGTGCTCTCTCTCTCTCTCTAATAAATAAAATCTTTAAAAAAAAACATTAAGGATCTCATGAGAGAATCACAGCTTTAAAAAAAATACAGTTCTCAATGGTTCAATCTTTTTTTTTTTTTAAGATTTTATTTATTTATTTGAGAGACAGAGTGAAAGATGAGAGGGCACACACAAAGGGAGAAGCAGGCTCCCCACTGAGAATGGAGCCTGATGTGGGGCTCGATCCTAGGACCCTGGGATCATGACCTGAGCTGAAGGTAGACGCCTAACCGACTGCGCCACCCAGGCACCCCTCAATGGTTCAATCTTAAAGCATGTAAACATCTTTTCTAACAGTCTTTATCTGATACTTCAATAACTAATGTCACCGTGCTAAAAAAAAAAAAAAAAAGTGTGTGTGTGTGTGTTCACTAAGGTTAGGAAAAAAAATTTACTATGTGCTTCTTACCTGACTGAAAATGAGTGAAATCTCCCCAGATTTTGCCCTACAATGCAGATAAAAGTCATTAAATATATATAATTTTTTTAGGTAGAAGTAAAATTAAACAGTTAGTGACAATGACATACTTTGAAAAGTGTCTATTGGATCCATTTTCTCCATGTTTTCCTATTTTTATACAATCTCTCAAAGGAATCTGGATAAAATTGAGAGAGAAATATTACAAAAATAAGCAAGGACAAAATATACATAAAAAGTAGGAATGTCTCTGTTCACATTTAAAATGCATTTACCTTAATGATGGGCTGGGATATTGCATCCGGTTCAAAAATAACTGATTTTGAACATATTTTTAAGGAGCCTCTGATTTTCCTAGGGATCAAAGTATAAAGGATTATTATTAGTGAACACACGAAATGTCACAAAAGAATCATAATACATTTTAACTAGAAAGTAGATAACTAAAGCATTAACTGAAAGAACAACAATATAATTAATTTTAATTACACTGACCCCAGGCTGATGGTTTGCCAACCTGATCCCATTATTCATTAGGGACTGAAATTTTTATCACTCCTTCTGTTCTTATTATCTAGAATTCATCCACAAAGAACAACTTTACAGTATTTATTTATGATTTGGAGTACAGTTTTTCTCTATGATTTGAAGTACAATTGGTACAAAGAAAGCAGAAAAAAAAATGCTTGATTCTTTACCTCTATTTATCAAGTTTTGGAATAACGAGTTGGTGTCCTAGGATCCCTGCCAGGCAATCTAAAGAGCTCATGAACTTGTGGATTTTAATGATTCTGATACATTTCCACTACTGCAGGCATTGTTCTTTTTTGATGTTCAGTTTGTCCTGTTTGTTGCCCAATTCTTCAAGTTGGCCCTTGTGTCCTTTTAATTCAATGTATAGTAGTTTCTTTTTTTTTTTTTTTAAAGATTTTATTCATTTATTTGAGAGAGAATGAGATAGAGAGAGCATGAGAGGGGGGAGGGTCAGCGGGAGAAGCAGGCTTCTCGCTGAGCAGGGAGCCCGATGCAGGACTCGATCCCGGGACTCCAGGATCATGACCTGAGCCGAAGGCAGTCGCCTAACCAACTGAGCCACCCAGGCGCCCTGTATAGTAGTTTCTGATACCTCCCTTACTTGCCAGTAGGACAAGATGTGCCAGGCTCATCTTGCACCCTGCCTGCCTCAGACTTAGACTCAGCCACTTCTCAAAGAGCCCTCACTCCTTTTCTTGGGAAGCAGTACTCAGAGAGCACAATCTCATTGCTATGGGGTTGTTTCTAGGCTTTTCCCAAGGGGAAAGCTAGGAAATACTTTCTTTTAAAAAAAAAGTATATGAATCCATATAAACGTTTCCAATTCAAATGTAAGATTAGGCTTTTAACTTAACTCCTTTACTATGAGATTTGTATCTCATCCTGAAAGTCTTGTCTTGGCATCAACATATTACTCATTTGCTTCATTTAACTATATAAATCTATGTGCACATGTGAATAAACCAGTTTCAAATTAATAATACCAAAATTACTAACAATGATATTACTACTGAAACATTTACAACCTTTTTTGCAATTCTTTTTCTACTCAGGTCATATCTCACCCAGAGACACAAATTACTATGTTGTGAAGCTGAACTAAAATAGTTCTTCTCTGCAGTTAACCTTCCAGCTTACATATAGTTAAGTTCACTTGTTTCATTTTCTTTTTGATTTTTAAGATTTACTATTTCTTCTCAAATTTAATTCTATATCAAAATATATGTAAAATATTTCTGCAGTTCCAAAAGCAAAGTTATAAAATAAGGGACATTCAGAGAAGTCTAGTTGTCATTTTATATTATTTCCCCATTGATCCTTCTTCTGTGTAGATAATCGCTTTCATTAGCTTTTAGTTTATGTTTTTCTAAACATATAATTTAAAATGTTTTTAGTTTTTAAAAATAGAAACAAAAATTATTCCTTTCCTTTCATAAATATGTGAAAGACAGCATACAATACACAGTATTCGGCCCCTTACTTTTTGCACTAAATATATGCTGGAGATCACTCCACAGCTCTATACAGAGCTGCTTCGTTCCTTTGTTACAGCTGCACAGTACTCCATTATGAGGACACGCCATTGCTATTCAATCAGTTCCCCATTGGATTGTTTCCAGTATTTTGCAATTACAAGTAGTGTTATGATAAATAACCTTGTACATATGTCCATTTCTTTATTTCCCAGGGTACCTCTGAGATAGTTCCCTAGAAGCAGCCTAGCTAGATCAATAGGTTAACTAATGCACATGCAATGTTGCTAGACATCACCGAATTCACTTCCATGTGTCGTACCACTGAACTCTAATAATAACTTAAAAATTACAAAACAGGTTTCAGTTTGCTAGCTTATATTTGTGTTTTAATAATAAACAAATGCACTTAATTTTAAGCAAGACATTTTATGGTATGCGGCAGAGGAGTATAGGGAGGAAAAACAAAGGTATAGAATTAGGGAGAAGAATATGAGCAAAATTCCAGAAGTAAGAAAGCAAGGTGCTGCTTTCAAGGAACAATAACTGTCTAATCTGAATGCTAAGGAAACGACATGTCATAAGCTCCCAAACAAAAACTAAGTAATTTTCACTTTAGGTTGTATTTAAACAAATACCACATGGCTTTAATAGTCCTTTCAAGATAAAACCTGAACAACACTAAAAATTAAAGAGTTTATTTAATATCAAAGCATGTTCAAGTTGTGGCCTATAGTGAAGGGACATCCCCAAAGGAAATCATTAGTAGATACAATTTTGCCGGAACAACTCTGATCTTAATTCCAAGTTGGCATTTTAAACAAAACACTTCATTACACATTTTTGTACACAGCTTTCAAAAGTTACAGCCAAAGAAACCGAATCTGTTTTCATAGCAATAAACAGTAATGATTACAATATAGAGAAAATGGATTCTGCTTCCAGTTCAAATCAAATTATTCATTTTGAAAGTACTGATTTTTATGCCACTCTGGTGTTTTACGATTACTACTTTATAACACCATAACCCAAATAATTGAGAGTGCAAGTACAAAAGTGATACAGGAAAAAAGAGCTGGAATGAACCAGTCCTGTCCAGCTGAGCTAAGACACCCATGTTAGAGGAATTCGTACATACTGCTTCTCAGCTTTGGAAAATATCTGAAGTTATGACAGCAACTTCAAAATCCTCCTTTCCCGTTACTTTCCCAGTACAAAAGGGCGACAAATCTACGTGACCATACATTTAATTTTAAAAATATCAGACAAGGGAAAGGTCTGTTGGTTCTGTAGAGATCCAAAAATCTTCCTTACCTTTCATTCTGATCGCCCTTGTTCTGAATATGATTAGCTGTGTGTTGTTCAAAGTAGTATTCCTCCAAGTTAAGTAGGAGCAAAGAAAATCTAAATTTGGAAAAACCAGAACAAACAAAACGAAACCTCATGTTTATTGTTTTTTAGGCAAAAGAAAGCAGAATATTCAAAGCATCTGTTCCCAAAGTGATTGTCCATTCATTAAATCAACAAATACCTATTAGGTGTATATTATACACAAAAATGCTCTTCTCTATTCAGTGGGAGAAAGCAACAGACAGACTTGCCCAGCCAAGTCAAAGATTAATAAAACTTACTTATAGGTGGATTTTTTTTTTTAATTCCTTTAGGAGAAACCGCAAATTTCATGAAATAAAACTTATTCTTGCCTGAACCAAACCTGGGGCTTTCCCACCTATGGAGTTTTCATCCTTTGTTTCGGCTGGCTGACCACCAGGCTTCCCTTCCTCCCCTTCCAGACTGCACACCTCTCCGGCTCAAGTGTTTTGCCTCATGGTTGGTTGCATATATCCTACTACTTCCACAGGATCATATGCCTCTGCGAGGCAGACTCTAGATATTTCCCTGTAATAACCAGTCTAATGCTTTGGTGTTGAATAAATAAGTAAACTAAACAGGATAGGATTAAAATATAGTTCTTTTTAAAGTGTTAAGTGTTTTAAACTTTTTTTTCTTTTTAAAGATTTTATTTACTTATTTGACAGAGAGAGAGCACAAGCAGGGGGAGTGGCAGGCAGAGGGAGAGGGAGAAGCAGGCTCCCCGCTGAGCAGGGAGCCTGGTGTGGGGCTCGGTCCCAGGACCACAGGATAGTGACCTGAGCCGAAGGCAGACACTTAACCAGCTCAGCCACCCAGGCGCCCAAGTGTTTTAAACTTTTAAAAACACAATAAGGTAATAAGAAAAGGTATTAATTCAGTTGTATGGCCACAGAAACAAATATATGGCAAATAACTGGAAACAAGTGTTTTTCGTTCAGGAAACATCAGTGGCATCTAGAGCTACAGGAAAAACTCTCAGGGGGAGTGTGGGCCTGGAATTCGGGTGTGTTGGAGGAAGGTATCACCAATAAACATAGCTGATCGAGCGTGTATGTCTCTTTCTGCTCCCTCCAGAAGCCCCACTAAAATCTGAGTGAACGAAAATATTTTTTAAATGGTAAAACTACAGCAAAGAAAACTGAGTCACAAGTGAAGATGAGAGCAACAAACCTGAGAGAAATGGAAAGCAGATGGGAGGAATCAGCAGTGGTCAGAAACGAGAACAGGACATACCCTCCAGTAGAAGGTACCAGTCAGGAGAAAACCAACTCAAGTCATAGGACTTCCAGAAAGTCCTGAAATCGCAGGTAACAGGTACAAAGAAGACCGGGAGGACATACGGGGGATAGTGAGAAGTCTAAATGAGTCAGTAGCCCAGATTCCTCCCCCGATGCCTATCCTACCTTACTCTGGTTTTTCTAGACAAAAACTGAGCAAGAGTCTCCAAACTAGACATCAAGCACAGTGGAGAGCAGGGCTATGGCGTAAAAAAGTAGGAAGACATAACCATTCCAAGTAACAGTTTGGTAGATTATTTTTAGAAAAAATGAAACAGCTGTAGAGAAAAGACCCATGGATAGGAATATTTGAAAGAGCCAGGTCTTTATAATATCCTTCTATACTGAAGCCCAACAGAAAAGGCCCACCCACAGTGACACAGAATTACGTGCTTCACACTAAAACACGAATGGCTAACCCAAGATCACCAGCCTCTAATATGAAAGAACTAGACCAAAACAAGCAGAAGAACACAACCTGGAGTTCTAGACACAATACAGAGAACAGGAGGTCAAAAGCCTATAATAAATTCACTTACAAAGAAGAAATTATATTCATGGAACAAGACATTGCTCATTCCAAAGAAGATCTGAACCAAAAGAAGAATAACTCGTAAATTAAGAATAATGACAGCAGGAACCAGCTTTACCATCCTAATAGGTAACTTTTTATTAGCCTATTTGTGTCTTTAAATCCATGAATAAGAATTAATCATAGGCTAAAATGCCAGAGCTCAAAGTAAAATGCTCACTATTAATACCTATTCTGGATTTCAGTACAATCACAAGAGTTAGGATTGCTAGAGCAGTCCTTTGATGCATCAGATACTTTCCATGAAGGTTAAATCAGAGAGATACTTATTAGCTACCTTGCCCCTTATTTTTAGCTTGTGCCTTAATGACCTGAAACCCTTTGCTTGGCCTGGAGCTATATAACCCTCTCTTCCCATTCTTCATCTCCCTACTCCTCCTCTTGGAGAGAAGGTAAAATAAAATAAGTATCTTTAATAAGACAATGGCATAATTTTATTGCTATGAAACACAAGTAGCCCTCATAGACAACCAGCTCTTCCATATAATTATTAAAATGTAGTACTATTCCTTGCAATAGCATGAATGGATCTAGAGGGTATTAAGCTAAGTGAAATAAATCAGAGAGAGACAAATACCGTATGACTTCACTCATATGTGGAATTTAAGAAACAAATGAGTAAAGAAAAAAGAGACCAAAAAACCCCAAATAACCAGATTCGTATATAGAAAACTGGTGGGTTGCCAGAGGGGAAGTGGGTGGGGTGATGGCTGAAATAGGTGAAGGGGTTTAAGAGTACACTTGTGATGAGCACTGGGTAATGTACAGGATTGTTGAATCATTATGTTATACACTGAAACTAATATAATGCTGTATGTTAATGATACTTGAATTAAAAATAAGTACTTTTTGGGCGCCTGGGTGGCTCAGTTGGTTAAGCGACTGCCTTCGGCTCAGGTCATGATCCTGGAGTCCCGGGATCGAGTCCCACGTCGGGCTCCCTGCTCAGCAGGGAGTCTGCCTCTCTCTCTGACCCTCCCCCCTCTCATGCTCTCTATCTCATTCTCTCTCTCATATAAATAAATAAAATCTTTAAAAAATAAAAATACTTTTTCTAAAAAAAGAAAAATAAAAAATATCCTATTATATATAATAATATAATTATATTAATAATTTTATTTATATATTAATTATATATATTTTAAAAGACAAATAAAAATATATTCCTATTATATATTATATATCATATATATAATATTACAATATATTATTAAATGTCCATACTACCCAAAGTGATCTGCAGATTCAATGGAATCCCTATTAAAATCTCAATGGCATTTATTAAAGAAATAGAAAAAAAATCCTAAAATTCATATGGAATTGAATAGCCAAAACGATCAAGAAAGAAAAACAAAGCTGGCAGCCTCACAGTTCCTGATTTCAAAACATATTACAAAGCTACAGTAATTGAAACAAATTCAAAATCAGCAGACAGACATATAAACCAATGGAACAGAATAGAGCTCAGAAATAAACCCTCACATATGTGCTCAAATATGGGTTCCGAGGCCACACAATAAGAAAAGGACAATCTCCTCTACAAATAGTGCTGGGAAAACTGGATTTCCACATGCAAAAGAATGAAATTGGTATCTTATTAACATCACATACAAAAATTAACTCAAAATGGATTCAAGACTTAAATTCAAGACTTGAAAGTATGAAACTCCTAGAAGAAGACTTGGTGGAAAGCCTCACGACAGTGCATTTGGCAATGATTTCTTGGATAGGACACCAAAAGCATAAGCAACAAGAGCAAAAATAAACAGATGTGACCACATCAAACATAAAGACTTCTGTGTGGCAAAGAAAACAATCAACAGAATGAGAAGGCAACCTAAACAACTGGAAAGAATATTTGTAAACCACGTATCTGATAAGGAGTTACTACCCAGAATATATAAAGAACTCTACAGTTTCAAGAAAAACAAAATGCAACCCAATGAAAACATGGGAAAAAGGCTTAAATAGATACTTCTCGAAAGAAGATATACAAATGGCCAAAAAGTATATGAAAAGATACTCAATATCACTGATCATCAGGAAAACATAAACCAAAACTACAAATGAAAGATCACCTCACACCCTATTAAACAAAACAAAACGAACCTGAAAATAACACATGTTGGTGAGGATGTGGAAAAACTGGGACCCTTGCCCCCTGTTGGTAGGACTGTAAAATGGTGTAACTGCCACGGAAAACTGTACAGAGGTTCTTTCAAAAATTAAAAATACAACTACCACACAATCCACAGTCCTTAACACTACTGTACTATACACTTAAAAGTGGCTAAGATGGTAAGCCTATGTTATGTGTTTTTGATCACAATTAAAAAAACTAATAGCAACTATTGTAGAACTGAAGTCATTATCTTGGCAAGTAACTTACATCCTCCTTAATTTACCAAGATGCGCATTTTGTAAGAAATGTAAAAAGATAGGGGCACGTGGGTGGCTCAGATGGTTAGGCGTCTGCCTTCGGCTCAGGTCATGATCCCGGGGTCCTGGGATGGAGCCCTGCATCGGGCTCCCTGCTCCGCGGGAAGCCCGCTTCTCCCTCTCCCACTTCCCCTGCTTGTGTTCCTGCTCTCACTCTCTCTCTCTGTCAAATAAATAAATAAAATCTTTAAAAAAAAGAAATGTAAAAAGATAGAACCAAATCATATTATTTAAAGTTAAAGGATTAAGGAAAGGAATTTTTTTGAATGTACATTTTCTTTCTCCTGAAGTGTTCAGTTACACCTACTTTAAAATTTTTGTACGTACAAATCATTACAATAAAGTTTCATGGTATTTTGAACAATGATTTTCAAACCACATCCTCAGGAGGAAAAGGTTCTGTGAAATCACTTTTATAATTTTAAATGTTTTCTTTAGGAGACTCTTGGCCTTGCCCGGGGATTCCTTAGCTTAATCCATCTTTACAGAGCTGTGGTGGGCTCTTTGGATTCTCTTTGATAAATTTACTCATTCAGCAACTTAACTTTCCTAAAAAGATGCTGCCCCATCCTCATGTCACCTAAATTTTAAAACATACTACTCAACACTCCACCAAAACATAAAATAAGTTCACACAAGGCAGCCCTCAGAGTAACCTTGCATCCATGCCCACTCAACCACCACTCAACGCTCTACTGATGAACAGTTTTTATAATGGATCCAGAAGATTTGGCTGGTCCATCATTTTTCTAGATTGGAGAGGTTTCACTGTG